CTGGCATGACAGAAAATGCTTATTTGGATAATTATATCAGCATTTAGGTGTTTCTCACTTTAAAGGTTAATGTTTAACAAGGAGAAATGCAAAGGCAACAAAGACTGGGGCTGGGCATTCAGTCTGTGGGGCTTCTCTGTATCTGACCACAGATATGTGCCTCCTGTCCTCATTTTCAGTGGGAGATGGCCCAGCTTTGTTTATGTATTATTTTAGGCTGAGCAGCCACAGAGTGGAGAAGGTCGAGAAACCTTTCCTCACCATGCTGACATCCCCTCTCCCTTTTGCTAGAAAGCCACTTATTTCCACTTGTGGCTCAAGGTGCCAGCATGTCACTCCAAGCCAGTTAGCCCTTCTGAATCTGTTTCTACTTGTGAATGATAAAAAGCAATCTGCCCAAGCTGGGCATGGTTGTGTGCACCTGTAGTCCTAGCTACAGGGGAGACTGAGTAGGGAGGATCCCTAGAGCCCAGGAGTTAAAGGCCACAGTGGGTTATGATCACACCACTGCCCTCCAGCCTGGGTGACACACTGAGACCTGGTCTCAAAAAAAGAAATAAAAAAAAAATTTAATAAAATGCCTGCCCAGTTCATTTCACAGTTCTGTTTTCGGAGCGAATGGGCTAATGCATGTGAAAATCATATTCAAGCAACTACATTCAGCAACTTCTTCAGAAAAAAGGGGCTGGGCACAGTGGCTCACATCTGTAATCCCTGCACTTTGGGAGACCGAGGTGGGAGAATATCTGGAAGCCAGGAGTTCAAGACCAGCCTAGACAACACTGCACATAAGTACAAATATGCCTTTGAAGTGTGAGGGAAACAGGGCAGGAATCTGTTCTAAGCAGCCGGTGGATCCAGTACTGGGCTGAGATGGATGAGGCTGGTATTAACTTGGCTGGTCGTGGTGACTCACGCCTGTATTTCTAGTGCTTTGGGAGCCCAAGGTGGGAGGATAACTTGAGGCCAGGAGTTTGAGACCACAGCCTGGGCAACATAGGGAGACCTTGTCTCTATTTTTTTTTTAATCTATATTTTAAAAAAACTGACATGAACTTGCTATGTGACCTTAGGAAAGCCTCTGAACCCCTCTGGGCCTCAGAGGCCTTTCAGTTGCAGGAGGATCCCATAGGCCCAGGAGTTCAATGGCCTTGGCCAGGACTCTCCTGCAACTGAAAACTAGGAGATGGGACCAGACCTACAAGAAGCCCGGAGGAAGCCTGGGAAGCTGCCACGCCCAGGGCAACAGGGTGGCACTGTGCCCCTGTTGAAAGACTTGAAAAAGTCGGCTGGGCGCAGTGGCTCAAGCCTGTAATCCCAGCACTTTGGGAGGCCGAGGCAGGCAGATCACCTGAGGTCAGGAGTTCAAGACCAGCCTGGTCAACATGGTGAAACCCCATTTCTACAAAAATACAAAACTTAGTTGGCATGATGGGGAGGTGCCTATAATCGCAGCTACTCGGGAGGCTGAGGCAAGGGAATCACTTGAACTTGTGAGGCAGAGGTTGCAGTGAGCCGAGATTGAGCCACTGAACTGCAGCCTGGGCAACAGAGTGAGACTCTGTCTCTGAAAAAAAAAAAAGAAAGAAAGAAAGAAAGAAAAACAAAAAGAAAAAGTCTTGAGGTCTCACCAGGGATTGGCAGTTGAAAAAACCCAGTGCTCCTTCTGTTGTCCACTGTGGGGGATGAGATACGATTCTATAATGAGGCAGAGCTCTTTACAAGGTTAGGGAACATCTCTCATGAGGACAAAGCATGGCAAGAAGAAGCCTGAGCCTGGCAGAGAAGGGAGCAGCTTGCAGCTTTGGCAGCAGCCTTCTCTCCCCCACCCCCTCTTTTCTCTTTCTCTCTGAGACTCCTGGAGCCTTGTGACCAAGTCCCTCTCCAGGCTCCCCTACTATCCAGAGGGTCCAGGAGTACGGAGGGAGGGACAGAGAGTGGGGGCCTCTAGCCTGGCAAGGGAAGACTCAGTTTCAGTCTTCTCATCCAACCTGTTGCTTCCAGTGGCAGAGGGCAGCCGTCCACATAGTCATGACCTCCAGTGACCCAGAGAAAATTCCCTTTATTAGCGGAGAAGTCTTTCTTCTTTTTATAAGAGAAAAGAATGATCATGTCTTATTTAAAGCATGCGTGCGTGCGTGCGTGTGTGTGTGTGTGACACAGTGTCACTGTAGGCCTTGTCCTAGCTTCTCAACAAGGCCAGTCTACACACAGCCAGCAATTCTCTAAAAACTTCGAGGGTGACGGAGAAAGGACGAGGAGGAAGAAGGGTAGGAAGGGCTATATCTGAAACAAGTGAGTACTTTATCTCTTCCTCCTACCCCAGGCTCATTTATGCACCCCCCAGGAGCCACCCAGAACCTGCATGCTAGTTGTACTCCCCTTCATAAAGAAAATAAGTTTCCTACTAGCAGAGTATTTCCTATGAGCTCACTGGATACCCAAGGTGAATTTCTGTAACTCTTTCACAAACTCATCAAAAATATGTAAGATGATATTCTGTGGAAGTGGATTGCTAACATCACATCGAATAAAAAGATGCCCATATATAGCAGGGCACAGTGGCTCATGCCTGTAATCCCAACACTTTGGGAGGCCAAGGTGAGTAGATCACTTAAGGTCAGGAGTTTGAGACCAGCCTGGCCAAAATGGTGAAACCCCATTTCTACTAAAAATACAAAAATTAGCCAGGTGTGGTGGTGGGCACCTGTAATCCCAGCTACTTGGGATGCTGAAGCAGGAGAATTGCTTTAACCTGGGAGGCGAAGTTTGCAGTGAAATGAGATTGTGCCACTGCACTACAGCCTGGGTGACAGAGCAAGACTTTGTCTCAAAAAAAAAAAAAAAAAAGACACCCGTATATTCCCACTCACTCTCCTGTCTCCCAGCCCTCGACCTACCCACATGTCTATGACACATAGTTTCTCAAGAACCACCAGCCTAGAGAGCCACCAGAAAGCCTTACAGCCTCTTGAAAAGAGACTTTGTAGGCTCAATTCCAGTCTTCTCTTCAGTGGATGCTTATCAATATTTCCGATAAGGCTTTGAAGCTGGGTAATTTGTTACTCTTGCACGTTCTCACATTGACCCCTGGGCATGCTTCCACTTAGTTTCAGTCTAAGTGAGGAAGGGGAGGGTGCACACCACTAGCTGGCTAGATCCCTGGCCCTGACACACACACACACACACACACACACACACACACACACACCCCTCCCTTTGGGGTCAGAAAGAGACATCTAAATTCAGAAAATCACAGCTCAGGCTCTATCACCAGGAACCTGGCCATATTTGGCTTTAAGGATATACAAATAGTGAACGACTCCTTCACTAAGAAGGCTGGGAAACTAACACAGGAAAGAACCTGCTGAAAACCAATCAGTCTTTGGGTTAAAATTGTGTGGGGTTGCTGGCAGTTCAAGGTAAGGCAATCTCTGGCCTTCTAACCTTATATATCTTTTGGTTTAACTCTTTGGTCTCAATTCAGTTAATTACAGTGCAATTTCTAAAACCAAGAAGCGTATTTAAATCGCCAATATTAAGAGGCATGACTTGGAATTTGAGAGGCATCTGAATACCCAACACAAGTCTCTGGTGAGACAAGTGTCTGCGAAAGGAAGCCGCGCAGGATGACGACTCTTTTACTCCTCGGTTGAGAGAATACGCTGGATGGTTGCGCTTCTGAACTCTCCCAGGGTGGAAGCTGCAGCTTGGCTTTTAACCGGCATTGCCCAGACCTTGAAAGTGTTTCTTTGTTGCTCTCAAAAGGAGTAATTCACGTTGCATCGCAGTCTGTGATAAAGTCTATCTTGGGGCAGAGTTTCGTACGTTTTGTATTTTTTTTTTTTTTTTTTTT